CAAGCTGGCGTGGCGGGCCACTGCAGCCGGCTGCTGCGCAGATGTGCCATTTGCCTCTGGTGCCGGCTCCGGTACAACGCTGGGCTCTACCTGCGTGGTGTCATCCGTGGCGGATTCAACTACTTCCGCTCGCTCCACCCCAGCAGCGTTTGCGCTGTTCGGTACTGTCTCGCCCTTTGCTGTCTCGACCGCCGATGTGGAACCAGTCGTGGCCTCTGGTGTAATCGCTGCACCCCACAAACGCGAAACAAGGCTTTTCATTCCCTTCAAAAACCCTGCTTTTGCTGGAGTCTTGTACGTCTCCTTGGCCGAGTCTGCCCTGCTGTAGGGCTTCCTCACACGCCCAGCCAGCGCTCGCCGCTGATTACGAGCCGCACCGTGCGGGTGATCTGACGTGTGCAGACCAGGCGTTGCTGCATTAGACATTATTCCCTGCGACGTCGAATTCAATGGGTAGTGGAAATATAGATTTAGAGGGGCAGTGTCAACACAAAAGTAGGTGGCTGCGAGTTTGCACGAATACTAGCAACCGGCGTTCGTTGAAAAGCGAATAAGAGGATAAAAGAGGCAAGATTCTTTGTGAAGAGAAGGAACCCAAGCGTCAGCTCCCAGCAACACCACCAAGTGGCCACTGAAAATTTTCTGCTGGATTCAAAATGGCCGCATTGTCTCGTTCAGCAAAGCCCAGATCGCTGATCCGCACTAATCGACCGATCCAGCGTGATCACTGTCTTGCCGACAATGTAGGCTGGAAACGTGCCAAGCGGGTCTTCGCATCGCTACGTTGGGCGCACCTGGGGCACTGTCAGGGCTTACCAGTATATACGAGCATATTGGCCAATACTCGAGCGGTGCAGCCATGGATACGCCAATGGTATATCCCTTTGTTAGCAAGAAAAAAAACTGCTTTGTTACGAGTCCAGCAAGGCGAGCCCCACGGTTCCATGTCTGGATTCAGGTATATCAAGGAAAACCAATGAATAAATCCAATGGTAATTTGGTGGCCATAGCGCACTGCTACCTATTATAATATCCACAAGTAATACGTATAGAAGAATATTGATTCTCATTGAACCCACCAGTTGTGTGGATATATGCTCTCATGTTGTATTCGAAATAGGGAGTGGAATATTACATATATCTACATGCCGCCATAACGCTCGAACAGACATATTCATGCTTTACAGTGGCTGGTATATATCCGAAATTATCTTCCTATGGATCAACCTTCAAAGCATAAGAGGTGAGGAGTGTACCGGTTCCCCAGCAAACTTCTAGTCAAATGATACTTTATCCCTACTGGCCCTTCACCCATTTGCAAAAAATCATTTACATTTCACCGCTCCAGCGACGAAGGGAAGGTATTCTAGTGCACCAGGCGAATCGTAGGCGAAGGTGGCCATTGGTAGCTGCAGTGTAGCAAGTCTCTATCATCAAAGTCACCACCATTGGATGATAGAAAGGGTGACTTCTAGCTACTAGCAACACCAGCATGTGGCTCATGCTTTTACAGCATATTTATTTAACCAAGAAAAGTTGGCAATAAGTTATTCCTGCTGAGGTGCCAAAGAGATATCAGATTGCCATAGGCAGTCTGGGTGTTTTGAGGCTTCACTGATAAGCACAAGACCAGATTCGATGTACATAGTGCGTTGCTAATTTAGTCAAATGTTGCACTCAGATAAATGTATTGAGGTGATCAGAACAAGCCCCTTTTCTCTGTGACAGTGAGATGCGCCTATAAGACTACAGATCCCACATATAGGGTCATTGGCTCAGTCGATCCTCAACCTTAGTCAATGATGCGTCTCTCCTTTCTGACATTCCGGAGAGATGATACAGATCAGATCCCACAGCAAAGTATAGGTAAAGGAGCAGGCCGTCTTTGTAGTCAGCCGATGCTCATTTACAGACAAACACAAATATTTGCTATGACAATAAGCCCTGCTGCAGCCGGGATCATATCCTCATTTCCACCTCTGTATATGTGCACATTTTCTCTACCTAGGAGAGTGGCATCCTCCACTGCTACATCACGTTCACCGCCTCAATCAAGCTGCTCGAGAAGGAGAAGGGAATAGGCTCTAAACAGTCTCTCATTGTATCTCGGTTTGATGGTGACAACAGCAGACTCTAGGGCACCGTATGAAATTTCCTGTACAAGACAATTGTGGTTAGGTATGCAGATAGAGTCACTTAAAGTGACAATGCTAGCCGCTGGCTGTCTGGAGTTCAAGCTGCCTGGCTTTCCCTCCAAAGCTCTCCTGTGCAGACTCAGGTATTGTGCCGCAGTGTAACCGGGATGCCAGGCAGCGGCAGGGAGCACCGTGGTGGACATGGTGTCTCTGCCTCTTAGCCAGGGTTCATTTAATTTGATAATCTGTGATCCGCTCGAAAAATGCATGTAAACAGCTTTGACGCGTGGTTCAGCATTTGTTTTTGCCTTTCAACTGAGCCACCTTTGACTAGTTCCTTAGCTTCTGTTTTTTTTTAAATTAGTGTATGCAAGCAAGGTATCAGCGCTGAAACAATGGACAATAGAACACAGCGGCCTACAACACGACGGAGCCCAGGCAGCGGGCAGCATACGTCCAAAACAACACCTAAGAAATCGCCAGTGCGTGGCAAATACAATGGCAAGGCAGCCGACGTGTGGGAGTTTGACGCGCCGCGGTTTTACGACTTTCAGAACACCCGGACACCCGGCAAGGCAGATAAGTGGTTTGGTAGGTAGCTTTGGCTATTTGAGAGTTGGAGAATGCCAAGGGAAATTGAGCTTGGTCACTAAAGAGCACGCTTATTTTGTAGATATTTCGCACCCGACGCCAGCAATCAAGCCGACAAAAGCGTCGCGCAACTACTCGAATGATATCTTCTCGCCAGATAGCGTAGACAGCTTCACACCGAACCGACCATCATTGACTCCATCCCGGGTGATCGAAGCGGACGGAAAGCTTCTGTATGACGAGTCGAAGGATAGCCCGGGGCCTGTAGGCGGTGTGGTCATCGAGGACGTGCAGTTTTCAGATTCAGACGAGGAGCAGGAGTACGAAAAGTGGAAACAGAGGCAACCGCTGGCGCAGAATATGTCAGAGAGCGATAATGAAGGGACGGTGGAGCTCGCCAGCATGTATGACCAGGTGCCAGAGAAGCAGAGTGGCATTACAGTGGGGCCCTCTGCTAAACCGCGAGCGTTGAAGGCGAGGCGGCTGGTGCCGAAGCCCGCGCCAAAGAAGGGATACAAGCCGCTGACGGTTCCGGTTGAGCGAGGGTTTATGCGGCCAACCAAGGGCGCGCAGAGCCGGCTACTGCAGAAGCAGCACGAGAATCTGGCGCAGCAGGCGGCACTCGAGGCCATTGCGCGGGCAAAACGGCGGAGTAGGGCGGAGCAGCCTGGAACACTGACGGTCCCTAAGCCATTCCAGTTCCACGAGAACGCACTTAAGGAGGGGGAACGGGAAAAGCAGGCAGAGTCGAGTCGGGGGACAAAGCGCAAGCAAACCGAGGAGACAGAGCTGGAGGATCGGCCGCGTCCAAAGGCACTTCGGCCCACGGTGCCCAAGACACCGCAGTTTGCAACATCCCTGCGTGTGCGGCGAGCAGCGGCGGAGCCGATCAAGACAGCACTGAAGCCCAGCACGGCGAAATCGGCAGCTAGTGCGATTCTTGCACGGCTGTCGCCGCTGCGGCCGACGATCGCCAAGCCATTTACGTTCCGCAGCGATGCGGTCGTGGAGAAGCACCTGCAGCGGCTGCGGGCGGAGATGGCGAAGCTACGAGCAGAGGAGGAGGCGCGGCGACAGTTCCAGGCACAGCCGCTACCCGAGTTCCCGACACCGCAGAAGCCGGCGAGGCGAACAGTAGTGCCTTTGCAGGCGTCGCCGTTCAACCTACAGACGGAGGTGCGTGGGGCGGCGTACCAGCGGCAGCTGCGGGCGCGGCTGGAGGAGCCTAGAGGAGCGGCAGCGGAAGCGGCGGGAATTCAAAGGCGCAGCCAATTCCTGAGTCGCTGGACCGGCCGTTTGTTCCAGCAACGGTGCCGGCCAAAGTGACGCAGCCCGAGGAGGTGGTTTTGCAGACGGAGGAGCGCAGTGAGGAGCGGCGGGTGTTTGACGAGGACCGAATGCGGCGCGAGCGAATTCGCGAGGAGGTGCTGGCACGCAAGCGGTTGGAGGACGAGAAGCGGGAGGAGGCGGAAATGCGGCAGCTGCGGAAGCTGCTGGTGCATAAGCCTGAACCGATCCGGCAGTACCGGCCCACGGTTATCCAGCCGTCGGACCGGCCACTGACGGTGCCCAAGACGCCCAAGTGGCACGTGCGCAGGCGGCGAACAAGCACGGCCGACAGCGCAACCGACGTAGAGAGCGATGCGGCGCCGGAGAGCCCGCCGCAGTAGACAGTTTTACAGGAAGATATATTAGAAGTCCCATTGCTTCAGTCAAGCTTGCTTGGTGCCGTCTTTGAGCCCGAGGCTGTAGCCGATCATAAAGCCGCGCTGGTAGTCGTCGCCCAGCTCAAGTGGCTCGTGGAACGGGTTGACCGGGAACAGCTCGCGACGCGTCTTCTTTTGGTTCTCCTGCTCCAGCTGCAGGTTCTCGTACCATTCGTGCAGCTGACTCGGACTGTCGTCGTATGACTCGCGGACGCGGATCTTTGACCCGTTGAGCGCCGATCCGTCGCCATTGCTGATAGCCTTCTGGACCATGAGCCCGACTGCCTCAGTCTCATCCTGTGTAGGCGGCGGGAGGATGGGCGGCGTGCCTGGTGTGTATTCGCCTACGTAGAACCGCACAATAGCCTGTTGCAGCAGGCGGCCGGAAACATGCGATTCGAGTGGGATCACGTCCCAGACGCTGCCGTACTGCTCAAAGTGCTGCTTCAGGTCAGCTGCAGTTGTCTTTAAGGGTGCCGTAGCGGACGTGGACAGAGAGGCTGGCGAGACCGCGTGTACCGAGGCGGTGTACAATTTGTGTTGTCCGGCGAAGCATTGGTAATAAAAAAGTAAGCAGGTGAATAGGAAATAATTGGGCCACAGAGACAGGAGAAGAAGGATTCCAGAGGCTGGCTGGTCTGGGGTTCCAGGATCAAGCTGATCTGTTTATCTTTGGCGCGACTTTTTTTGAGCTCAGCATAAAGGAGGGCGAAAATTTTCTGCTCACTGCAATCGCCCTAGAAATGCAATCTCGATCCGCTTTGCTTTCTCCCTCTCCTCTACGCTTTTATATATATCTGACTTCCGCACAACCAGACACCAAAAATGTTCGGCACCACCCTTCGCACTGTCGCCACCACCGCTATGCGCACGCAGCGCATCCAGACGCGCGGGCTCGCCTCGAGCATCCTGTACGTGACCAACCTGCCCCTGGGTACGACCGAGGAGAAGCTGGCGCCGTTGTTTGAGAAGTACGGTCCCGGTCTACGAGTACCACTTCCCGCAGGCGCGCAACCAGCAGCCGTACGCGAATGCGTTCATCAAGCTGTACAGCGGCGATCTGCCGTCGACGATCGAGGAGCTGGCGGCGCTGCCGGCGCCATCGGCCATTGAGGTCAGCGATGTGGCGAAGCGCGGCTCCGACGCCATCGCCGAGCTCAACCAGCAGGACTTTGGCGGCCGTCCGCTGCGCGTGGGCTTTGCTCACAAGAACATGCCTGATGCGATCCAGTTCCATGCACGTATGACGCTGCGCAAGAGCGCCGACCCCGAGTTCGCTGCCAACATCAACAAGCGGCAGAACGAGAAGGGCGGCTACTCGGCTGGCTACAAGGACGGCTTCAGGGACGGCCTGGCACAGGCCCAGAAGGACGCCAGCCAGTAAAGACACTTGAGAGTTACGTAATAAAATCATTTATGTGGTCTATCTTTCTCTATTGCTGCTGGCACTCGGGCTGCGCGCCAGCGTAGGCTGTCGTAGGCGTCGGCTGCTTCCCCACCGAATGCGTGCCGGTTGGCCCGCACACGTGCCTTCGAACTCATCGGTCGAGATGGGCTTGGCTGTGACTGCATCCACTTCAGCGTCCTTGGCGGGCTCCGGCCAGCGAGTCTTTCGGCAGCATGTTGACCAGCTCTGCAGCTGGGCTTCCACGCGCGGTCGGGGAACTTGACGCTGAATTTGACAAACAAATCGCCCGAGTCGCGCGGCCGCTTAGCCCGCGGCATGCCCTCGTTCTGGATGCAGACCACGTCCCCCGGCTGGATCACGCCCGCATGCGTGACGTGCAGCCCACGGCCATCGAGGCTGGTGAGCAGCACGCGCGACAGCCCACACAGCTGCCTCGGCCAGATCGATCTCCACATTAGCCACCAGGTCGTCGCCGGACCGCTCAAACACACTATGCGGCTTCTGCTGCAGCACAAACATCAGGTCGGCTGGCTCCTTGCCCGGCTCCTGGTCGCCCTTGCCCTGGAGCAGAATCGTCTGCCCGTCAGCCATGCCCCGCTCGATTAAAATCTCCACTGTATCCTTCTCATCCATCACCCGCTCGCCCTTGCACTTGCGGCAGCGGTACTTTTCTGGGATGATCTTGCCAGAACCATGGCACGCCTGGCACGAAACCTGCTGCTGCGAGATCAGACCCGGCCCGACCTGCCGTGCTGCCACCCTGAAGCCCTTGCCATCGCACGTGATGCAGTCCCGCAGAACCGACTTCTTGCCGCCCAGGCCCTTGCAGTGCTTGCAGGGCACGGAGCGCACCAGCTTCATGCGCATGCGCTTGCCCTTGTATAGGTCCTCAAGGCTCACGCCGAGCGGGTGCCGTTCGGCCCGCGGCCCCCGCGGCGGCATATTGAACATTCCGCCCTGGTCGAAGAACTCGGAGTACATGTCGTTGAATCCGAAACCATCGGCGCCGCCACTGGGCATCCCATCGGGGCCGTACTGGTCGTACGCTGCGCGCCTGTCTGGGTCACTAAGGGTTTCGTACGCATGGCTGATCTCCTTGAACTGGTCTGCGCCCTCGGGATTCTTGTCCGGGTGGTACTGCATGGCCAGCTTGCGGTACGCCTTCTTTATGTCGCTGTCCGTTGCTGTCGGCTCAACCCCCAGCACGTCGTAGTATGATTGAGAAGACATTGTATATTCTATAAAGTGAAGAGTGAAGGAGAGCTGACTGGGTCGCAGGAACGGCGCCCATCAATGCAAAAAGCAGCAAAAAGTGTGGAACCAGGATTTCATAATCAAGCATCTGCGATCATCGCCCGCTTCCAGCCAGCTCCAGCGCGCGCTGCTGCGAACATAGTAGTGTGTTCAAGGTGCCTTCGATTCTTTTAGCCGTCTGAGTTTCAAAAAAGATGTCTGTTCACTAAAACGAAGAAAGAAAATGATATCTAGGCCGGCAGCATTGCCATCCGCACAAGTAGCGACGCGACAGAGATTGCCGTTTAGTCGTGCTGGACGAAACCCTTGCCAGCGTAGCCCTCCGACGAGATACCGCTGATGGGGTTCATGTTGGCCTCGCGGGCAATCTCGTTCGAAGCCTCCTGCCACTCCTTGTTCAGCGTGCGCTGCTTGGGAACTACAGCAACAGAAAGAACGGTCACATTTAGTGCGGGGTCATAGATACCGCCGAAACACAGATGCCGTTACACCCACGTGAAGCCAAAGTGGGAAAAATCCGGGCTCTTATCAAGTGATGATAGTCATGGCCGACAAAAAATCTCCCCGGCCTGGATCGATGATAATCGAAGCCGCTGAGAATGAATTATGTACTTACCCGACGAGCGGACCAGAGACGAGATGGTGAAGCTGACCGCGATGGTGGCGATGACGCCGATGGCCACCTTCATGTTGTCTCCCTTCTTGACGTGCGGGCGGCGGTAGTTGTGCGGGCCGTACGTAGCATAGTAGACTATTGCGAGAGATGTCGTTAGCCAAATGTGCCCCGCTGAATTTGCCCTGATTCACCACCATTGCAAAAGTCCTGTCTCTACTTACTGGCCTTCTTGTCCTCAGCGGAAACCTTGGTCCAGTCTCCCTTCATGACCTCGTTGAGCCGCTTGATAACCTGCACCTGCTCGGTCTTGGGCAGAGTCGCAAAGGTCTGCTCGGCCTGGGCCAGGACGGGCGCCGAGGCAGTCGACTGGAAGCGACGGCCAGAGAGCTGGGCAGCACGGACAGCAGCGTTGCGGAACATTTTTGAAAGGAAAGTCTTTTGCGTAAATGAAAAAACGTAGACAAGGAAAAAGAAGGAGCCGAATTGAGAATTCGAAAAAAACAAAAAAGATTTGAGATTCGGCGTCTAGCTCGATTTTCTTGTTCAGCGATTATAGCGCAAAATCGCCTCTGGGCCCATGCAGCTGGCGATTTCAGCGCAACTGGGGCCAGACCGGCGCGCTTTGGGCCTCCCCACCCGCTCCCCAGCGCATAGGGCCGGAGATAACGATCAGCAGGACGAGATTAGATGGCGATCTGATCACGGGATTAGGAATTGGGCCACGCCGAATCTGTGCTGACGAATTCTCCCTCCATCAGCAAGACTTTTGACGCCGCCCAGGCGATATGTTCGCGGGTTGCAGCGGGTGTGGAGCTGGCTTTGCTGCAGAGGCAAAAGAGCGCTAAAAAAGCCGACAGCCCAAGAATAAGCCCTTTGAACCCCTCGTTGGTCGCATGCACCTTTCTCTCCCTCCCATACACTTTTCTCTTGCCAACTTTTTAAAGCGCCCTTCTCTTGCCCAAGCTACCACCGTGTCTCCCCACACGTTTTCATTGTACAAGGGGTTTCTCGCTCTACTTTCCCACCACGCTTATTTTTTTCGTTTATTTCTCTGGATTCCTGGAAACAGCATAGGCACGCTCCAAGCACACGGACACATACAAAATTACTAATTTGCAACAGTAAAATAGCACCACAATGCCGGCGAATTGGGCTTCCGTAACAAAGGTATGGTGTCGGATTCAGCCAACTGTGCCTTGGGGATTTCGCGGCCAGTGCAAATGTGACTAATGTGTGCAAGCAATCTATTAGAGTGGAACTACGCAGACTGCCAGCAAGCCCACAGCGGCGCAAAAAGAGCGGAAGCACCAGCAGCAGAAGACTGCTCCTAGAAACAATTACGCACCCAGCATAGCGGTACCCCAGATCAATCCGGACATTGAGCAGTCGCTGCTCAAAATCGGCCGGCTCGCAATCAACGTTGCCAAACACCAGCGAGATGTTAAGGTAAGCGAGAAATTTTTACCAGCGCACCAAAATTTTCAATGTGCTGGATTTTTTTGTTGAGCCCACCGCTCCCCCGCTCAGCAGCATGATGACTAACAGCCATACACCGTCCTCCCTGCCGTATTATGTAGCTCCCGCTCTATATTCCTGACGATCCAGGTAAGGATTCGGAGCAGATGAGCATTGCTAGCAGAAGCACCCTATGTAGCGCAAGTACAATAACGTCCTCACTTATCTTAATTACCCTGCTGCATGCATCCGCGTTTACACACAATAGTCTACTGGAAAAATCAGCTGAACCAGCGCCGACTGCGTAAAAAAGCCAGGCGTGACCGCAGCAACGGCATTGTCGCGCCACCAGCGGCAGGCACAAAACCGCAGCCCAAATCAGAACAGCAGCCAAAGGAAAGGCCAGTAGACACAACCAACCCGCCCGAGTCCGAGGCTAAGCCTGCACCAGCGCCCAAACCAAAGCCCAGCAGCTGGGCACAGTTGATAAAAGATGGTCTGCCGCCCCCCAGCAGCAACCCCGCAGCCAATGCATCGAAGCCTGGTACCAACGGTGTAGCAAATACATCAGGCATTGCGGGACAGGGCAGCGGAATGAAATCTGGAGGATTCAGGTCTCTGGAGGAGGCACTGGAGAACTGGGCTGTCGCATTTGACGCGCCGCCGGTCCAGCCGCGCGGGCTAGTCAACACAGGCAACATGTGCTTCATGAACGTGGTCCTGCAGGCCCTGCTGTACTGTGCGCCGTTCTACAACATGCTGTGGAGCATCAAGGAGAACGTTGCATTCAGCTTCAACACATCCACACCGTTGCTAGAGGCTCTGATCCAGTATGTGCACGAGTTCAAGCGAGATCGCACAGCGCTGGCTCAGCTGGCCAGTGAGCTGGACGAGCCATTTGTTCCAGAGAACGTGTATGAGGCACTGCGGAAAAAGAACGTGTTCCAGACCCTGCGTGGGCAGCAGGAGGACGCGCAAGAGTTCATGAGCTATCTTGTCGACGGAATCCACGATGAACTGGCGTCGATAATGCAGGTGTACCAAGCAAAGCGGCAGGGTGCTGCGGTGGCTGCCAACGGCGCAAATGTGGCTGCAGACAGCGATGACTGGCTTGAGGTCGGCCACCAGAACAAGGCCAGCCTCGTACGTGATGGCGGCGCATCAACCAGGACGCCGATATCGCAGATCTTTGGCGGCTCGCTGCGCTCAACCCTGAGCATCCCCGGCGCAGCCCTGGCTGGGATCAGCAGCGGCTCAATCTCCCGCGCGCCGCAGAGCTCGAATCGCGAGCCGTTCCAATGGCTGGCACTGGACATCTCGTCGGACAGCGTCGAGTCGATCGAGGACGCCTTTGACGAATTTGTTGCCCCCGAGGTCATTGAGGGCTACATGCCGCTGCCTGGTGGCAGTGCTGTGGATGCCACCAAGCAGGTGCTGCTCGAGAGCCTGCCACCGGTGCTGATGCTGCACCTGAAGCGCTTTGTGTTCTGTCCAAACGAGGGTGTGCAAAAGGTGCACAAGTTTATCGAGTACCCGGCCACCCTGACGCTGTCGCCCAAGTGGTTTGCCAAGGGTGCCAACGTGGCAAAGTACCGCAACGCAAAGTACCGCCTGACCGGCGTCGTGTACCACCACGGCTCGCATGCGTCGGGCGGCCATTACACATGCGACCTGCTCAGGGCCTCAAACGAGTGGCTGCGCTTTGATGACGTTGACATTGACTGTTTGAGCTCAGTCGACGATGCACTGGACGAGAAGAAGGACCGCACTGCGTACATTCTGTTCTACACGATTTGCCATTAGACTATTCTCAATTGATGCCCTAGCCTC